ATAGAAATTTTTTTTTCTTTAAAGATTAATATAAAGAACTAAGAAAAACAAATCAGCAAGGATAAATGATTTAAGTAAATATTTACAAAGCATCATTAATTGTATGTGATGGACATGCACTTAACATAAGACAAGCTAACCCTCATATAGCCATACATATTAATTTTCTTTGTGCAATATTTGTAATTGATAATAAAGTTCATTCATTAAAACACGAAAAAAAAAGCAAAAATTGTATATGCAAGTATTTGAAGATATAATTGTTGTGTTGATGCAAATAATGGTAAACAAAATAATAATATAGCTATACAACGTAAATCATATCAATAAATAAATGATNCTAGTAAAAGGCGGAAGAATGGCAACAGAAAAGGCATTGAATGACATCATCAACCAGATTTAGACTATTCTAAATCTAAAACATTTTAAAGCCTTCCTTGAAATTTCAATGGCTGAAATATGTTTGTGAAAACTTTAACCGACTTATTTACTAGTTAAATCAATGATTGAAATCATAATAAAACACACAATATGAAATACAACTCAACAAGCCAAACAGAAATTAGAGCACAAATGTTATAACAGAGATCGATTCTAGTAAAGAAGTAGATAAATGAATTCTTGTTGATATGTTTTCATTTTATGAATCGATATTTTTAGTCTTTATTGAGGGTGTGGGTATTGGTGAGAGAGTGTATATGATTCATCAACACATCCAGACAACATCTACACCCACACCAAGATGATGATGAGATCGTATTTTGAATGGGTGCAAGTAAGTCAGCATATAATTTTTCTAGGTTCGATTCATTTATGAATGCCTGTTCAAATTGACGTCATTGTTTGATATTCGTTAACTAAAATACGTAGAATAGATTTTTCTGATACAATTAATATTTGCAGATTTTCTTTTATAATACCTGAGGATAATATTCTCGATCAGCAATTCTCTAATTCTTCAAAATGAGCACTGAAACGTGATAACGTCAATTAAAACCTAAAAAAGTGAAAGAAATACTATATTATCTATGAGAATTCTTTTGACATTTCATGACAAAACTTGTTGATTTTGTTTTGATCGTCATTTCTTCGCAATTATAACAAAGAGTTTTTCTTTCATTAATGTTCTACTATTTATCTTTTTCAAATAAATTTCAATCGCACGTGTAAGTCTTGATAATTTTTAAAAAGAAAACTAGGAAGAACCTTCCACTGTAGGTGAAAAAAACTAGCTCATCTAACAGCTCAAATACGACTTCATTATTAAATATCAGTATGAAATATCAATAGAAATTGTTTTTCTTTAAAGATTAATATAAAGAACTAAGAAAAAAAAATCAGCAAGGATAAGTGATTTAAGTAAATACTTACAAAGCATCAGCAATTGTATATGATGGACATTCAAAAAACCACTTTATTCATTAAGCGATCCAATAAACCAATATGTACAAGTAATAATGGTAATGGACGTAATAAAAGTAAAGCTTCATATGATAATGTTGATGATTATTTAGTACGTTGATATAATTCTGCAACAAGTTCAATAAGAATATTATCTGATGATGACATTATTGATGAACTATCAATTATTTCTTGTTCTTCATTAACATGTTCATTATTTAATGAATTTTTATTTTCATTTGGTTATTATTTTATATATCATTATTTAATTCTTATATTATATAATTTATTTAAATCAACTTCATCACTTTCAAGTNGATCGTATTTTGAATGTGTGCAAGTAAGTCAGCATATAATTTTTCTAGATTCGATTCATTTATGAATGCCTGTTCAAATTGACGTCATTGTTCGATATTCGTTAACTAAAATAAGTAGAATAGATTTTTTGATACAATTAATATTTGCAGATTTTCTTTTATAATACCTGAGGATAATATTCTCAATCAGCAATTATCTGATTCTTCAAAATGAGCACTGAAACGTGATAACGTCAATCAAAACCTAAAAAAGTGAAAGATATACTATATTATCTATGAGAATTCTTTTGACATTTCATGGCAAAACTTGTTGGTTTTGTTTTGATCGTCATTTCTTCGCAATTATAACAAAGAGTTTTTCTTTCATTAATGTTCTAGTATTTATCTTTTCCAAATAAATTTTAATTGTACGTGTAAGTCTTGATAATTTTTAAAAAGAAAATCAGGAAGAACCTTTCACCATAGGTGAAAAAAACTAGCTCATCTAACAGCTCAAATACGACTTCATTATTAAATCATCAGTATGAAATATCAATAGAAATTTTTTTTCTTTAAAGATTAATATAAAGAACTAAGAAAAAAGAATCAGCAAGGATAAGTGATTTAAGTAAATACTTACAAAGCATCAGCAATTGTATATGATGGACATGCACTTAACATAAGACAAGCTAACCCCCATATAGCCGTACATATTAATTTTCTTTGTGCAATATTTGTAATTGATAATAAAGTTCATTCATTAAAGCAGAAAAAAAAGCAAAAATTGTACATGCAAGTATTTGAAGATATAATTGTTGTGTTGATGCAGCAAATTCAAAAAACCACTTTATTCATTAAACGATCCAATAAACCAGTATGTACAAGTGATAATAGTAATGGACGTAATAAAAGTAAAGCTTCATATGATAATGTTGATGATTTTTTAGTACGTTGGGATAATTCTGCAACAAGTTCAATAAGAATATTATCTGATGATGACATTATTGATGAACTATCAATTATTTCTTGTTCTTCATTAACATGTTCATTATTTAATGAATTTGTATTTTCATTTG